CAGTAGGAGACGACGACTGGCGCACACGGCTGTCACGGCAGGCCTGCACACGGCAGGACGGCACGACGGAGATGGCAACCGACGCAGGCCGTGCAGCAACGGTGGTGACGAGCACCGTGGGAGCCGGCGCGGTGACGGAGCGGCGCCGCCGGCGTGGGTGGCGCTGCTGGCAGCCGTCGCAAGGGCGCGGCCGCGGCAGGAGCCAGGAGGAGACGCCGTCGCCGAGAGCCCGTGACGGCAGGAGCCAGGAGCCGCCGCCGCCGCCCAGGAATAGGAACAGACGAACAATCACTCCACTCGGTCTCCTCATCTCTCTCCTATTTCCTCGGGTTAACAATACTATTGGGCCGGTGAGTTTTGGGCCTGAGTTGTTGGCTTTTTGGCTAGCTTGCCTCAAATCTGGTTGGTTGGTTGTACAGACTACGTAATACGGGTACTATCCGTATATATATTCGGGTAGTATCCGTATTTCCGTATCCGTCGAATACTGCGCTCCCGAACCCGATCCCATATCCACCAAAAATAACCCGTATTCGAACCCTATATCCGTATAAAATTTTGGGTACCCGAATTTCTGAGCCAAATTTGTTCCGAATTAATACGGTCGGGCGGTCAAGCAGGAAATACCCGTCCTGTTTTCACCCTTACTACCAAGCGGCTAGGTACGTACATGCATGCAGTTTAGATGTACCATTTAATTGGGTATAATATACCATTTAGAGCACGCATATTTTTTAGTATTTAAACACGTATACCGGTATATTGGGTATGTGTGACGACGTATCAATGATTCTCTTTGGGTATATACCGGTTTAAACACACATACTAGGTATATACCCTTAAAACTGCATATTTTGTTAAAATACATATTTCTAGTTGGTATATACCTATCTAAATGCGCGTAAAAAAATTGATTTTTCAAAAAGCTTTTTTTTAACTGAATTTGAAACTAGCTAGACCTTTTAGTTAAGTTTTTTTTTCTACTCTAGCTAGGTAGCTGACAAATTAGTTACTTGTAGATGTAGGTATATGCCTTGTTTGTTGTGTTTTATAGTTAATTAGGTATATACCTATCTAAATGCACCTGAAACAAAATTGATTTTCCATGAAGCTTATTTTTTCCTTTGAACTGAATTTGAAATATGCTAGGCCTTTTAGTTAAGTATTTTTTATACTCTAGCTAGGTAGCTAACCAGATGTAGATGTAGGTAGGTATGTGACGTATCATGATTCTATTTGAGTATATACCGGTTTAAACACACGTACTAGGTATATACCCTTAAAAATGCATATTTTGGAAAAAAATACATATTTCTAGTTGGTATATACCTATCTAAATGCGTGTGAAAAATAATTTGATTTTTCAAGAAGCTTATTTTTTTTTCTTAGAACTGAAATTGAAACTAGCTAGGCTTTTTAGTTAGGTAGCTGACCAGATGTAACTAGTTACATGTAGATGTAGGTATAAGCCCTGTGTGCTGTGTTTTCTAGTTAATTAGGTATATACCTATCTAAATGCATCTGAAACACACACAATTTTGCATGAAGCTTTTTTTTTTCTTGAACTGAATTTGAAATTTGCTGGGCCTTTTAGTTAAGTATTTTTCTACTCTAGCTAGGTAGCTGACCAGATGTAGATGTAGGTATATAAGCCTTGTGTGGTACGTATATCCTGCCCATGTAGATGAATTTTAGGTTCTGATATTTATGGAATAGTGGGATAGTAGATACACCATCCCAAAAAAAAAGCAACAAATCTAGACATAGAGTATGTTTAGATTTATTGTACTAGGAGGTGTCACATCGTAGTACGAGGTTGAGTTTTTTTTGGGACGGAGGGAGTATATACATAGTACCAAAATACTTCGTATTAATTTGAATGACCGTGGAATAATTTTTTTTAATGAACATGGATATTAAGAGTATTTTAAACACACAATTATGAAATATTATTAAACTAGGTATAATATATTCTAGAGTACAAACTAATAAATTGGGCAAGGATGATGAATTGGGACCTCATGGTTCCAGGAAATCAAGATTTGAAGTACGTTCATATACCCACTGAAATGCATATTTTGGAAAAATACCCATTTCTAGTTGGGTACGCACCTGTCTAAATGCGCGTGAAAAAAAATAACATAGTTTGGGTAAATTTAGTCAATGTGGAAACTTATGTTTAAGTACTACAGATTGGGTATTCTATGCCTAGTATAGTTAATGTATGTATTGACGTGTATCTGTATATATAGCATCTCCCACACATGCAAAACTAGCACTTCCCATCAGTATAGCATACTCCATCCGTTTCACAATGTAGGTCATTTTAACATTTCCCACATTTATATTTATGTTAGTGAATATAGACATATATATCTATTTAGATTCATATTACCATTGATATAAATATGAAAAATGCTAGAATAATGACTTACATTTTGAAACGGAGAAAGTAGTTTGAAAAATCCTTTCGTTATATAACTGTGGCTAATTAAGTATGCGACAAAATATACCTAATGCCGACGCAATTGAACCATGGAACTTTGAAACTTCCGTTAAATTTCGAAAGTATGATTGGATATTTTGCGAGTTGAGTGTGGTGAAACCTGTCTGACTGAGTCTATTCGTCTTAATATTAGTGCTTCACATTTAAAATTATTATTCTTTCAGTGATCAGTGATAAGTGATTAACACAAATGTTTAAAACTAGCTGTTTTTTCTTATTCTAGAAAAATCTGTGGTCATATAGATGCGATCAAAGGTATCCGACACAAGTTTTTTTTTGTATACTCTAGAATTATTGTATATTCAAATTAGTTTTCAAGTTAATTTGAATAACAGCCTACTAGCTCCTAGTGCGTGCATCCAACTAGTGCTTCTTCTTCCTACGACCATCTTCTCCTGATCATCCTGCGGCAGCATACGTGTACAGTCATTGGATCACTATAGGAGGATGAACCAACAACTTAATTATTAGTAGGATCCATCACCGTCTTAAGGTCTTGACAAACAAAGAAAATTGTCAGTACTCAACCTGCAAAACAGTTGAGCCGGAACCCGCCAAAATATAAGAATAGATTAAAATAAATTACACATGAAACCACGTCATCGCCGGTGACGGCAGCGACGAACCTCCTCACGGGGAAACCGGCAGTGACGACGACGAACCTCACGGACGACCGGGGTGCCGGCGACGAATCTCACAGACAACCGATGGCGCATTACGGCGTGGCGACGAAGCTAGCGACTGGCGACGGCAACGAAACCTCGCCGACGAACCGGCAGCGATGAACCTCGCGGACGACCGGCGGCGTCCCGGCATGGTGCAAGCTCGCAGCAACGAGGGTAGAAGTACTCCCGGCCGGCGGAGCGCATGCAGCTAATTAAATTGTAAAATTTTGAGTATCGTTGGATGGTTTATATATATACGTGCAAAAAAAAAGAAAAATTCATATAAATGGAAAAGAAATCAATTCAACGTAATTAACGGGGCTGATTTTTTGGACGATCTATGATATAGAAACATAATGACATTCAAAATCCGTACGTCCTTTGGAAATACATGAATGCGAATTAAAAATGGAATGGTACCTGATGCAAATCTTTCCTAACGGGTTAAATGGATTAAACCCACTAATTCGTTCAATATTCTGGTTTTAAAAAGCACGCATTCTAAAGCAAATGGACGGTGGATTAAGTTGGAGCCTGGGCTCCATGGTGCACCAGTTAATATATATATAGAGAGAGAGAGACCACGAAAATATTTACAGGAAGTATAACTGTATAAGAGTAAATATTAGCAGGAAGTATATGCTGATGTTTTTCGTGGGTATGTGCTGTGGAGTATGTACTGGTGCTGTACTGAATGCTGATTGTTGCTGCTGTTCTGAAATGCTGCTGCTGCCTGCTGCTGATTGCTGCAGATGTTCTAAAATGTTGATTGCTGCAACTGTTCTGAAATGCCGCTGAAACGATGCTGAAGTGCTGCTAAATTGCTACTGATTGCTATTGAAATAAATCTGGATGCATTTATCAGTTATCAGTTTTTTTGCGGCAGAAGAGCTGTACATGATCAACAACTTGTCGTTTGGCTAGGGATCAACGGATCAATGATATTGGCTAGGGGATTACCTCCTTGATAACACGAATAGCTACAGTATGCTCTTAATGTTTCGTTTTTCAACAGATTAAGATAAGAACAGCAGTCCGATCGCGACGAACTATGAGGCGGCTCCGCCTGCGGGCAGGGGAAGAGGAGTATCGGGTGTTCGTACATGGAGAGGGGAGAGGCCGATCAACTCTCAAGTGGTCCCACCATACTTATGTGGCAAACCAACAAATTATTGGGATTTAATTTTTAGGTTTCTCTTGGAGAAGGGAGTGGTTGTTGAGCCTAATTTTTATTTTGATAGTCCTAATTTAGAATTTTCGGGAGTTAAATATTAGAAAACTGTTGGGCATGCTCTTACCCTACCTTAAAAACGGAGTCATTCTCTTTCCATCCCCTTCTTCCACCACGCGCCCACACACTTAGCACAAGTAAGTAAGTAAGTAACAACTGGATCTAAATGTTTTATCCCGGTCACACTTATACGGACATGGCCCGTTACAATGTAGGGGCATATTATATTAGTTTAAAAAAAACAAAATAGGTAAGACTGAATCAATACTACTATATATAAAAGATAATAGCAGTTGCAGTGATTTTGACATCAGCCCAACATAATTGCTTTTGCATGTTGTACAAATTATTTCATGATATTTTATAATATTATGTAGTAGTTTATTTTATTTTTAATCAAGTGAGTACACATATATTCAAATAAGTATGAGTATTTTATCCATAGCAAAGCATGAATATTATGCTAGTTTATAAAAAAAATATCCGTAAGACTATATAAATTTGTTGAGTTGCGCATTGTGTTCATATATTAATGACTACTCCATATCTGACATTATTAAAAGAACCTGCCGACAAAATAAGATATTTATTAGACATGTTTGACACCAGAGATAACAGAATGTTTGTTTTAAACAAGCTGTTCAATTCAGATTACAGAGCACGATGATCACACAACGTTGATCTTTTACAAGAAAGAAAGAAAGTGAAACGATAGATGCACAGGTGAACTTTTACAATGCACTACTGCTCGATCACTCGCCAATGCCAATGCTCACAAGTAAAGAAATGCATGTAGTACAGAAGAGGATTACAATTCGAAAATAAAAACGCACTCGCTCGCGCATGCAGATAGAAATCAAACGTAAATATTATATGCATGTATAATTAAGCACAATCTTTTTTAATTAGCTAGCAAGATGATTAAGCTAGCGCTTGCGGATAGAGCAGGCGGCCAAGATGACGAGGAACATGAGGATGACGACGGTGAGGAAGGAGGCAACGACGGATCCGCTGGTTCGCTGGCAGAAGCCGTGGAACTGCATGCATATGGCCACCCAGTTCGCCCGCAGGTTGCCGTTGTGCGCCAGGTCCACGATCGCCGCCGCCGCAGACGCCGCCGCCGTCAGCATCGCCGCCATGATCTGCAGTACACGCATCAAATCAATTCTCATCAGGAGCCAAATCTATCGATCCAAAGAAACCATTTCATTGCTTAGATTAAGATACATACCATGTCGCAGACGAGCAGGAGAAGCCTGAGGCCGATGGTCTGAGGCCTTATCACGAGGACGGCGGAGAAAGGGAGGGACAGCACCAGGTACCCTGCCACGATCGCGTTCGCCACCAAGAAGAACCTGCAAAGCATATGCATCCGATCATCATCATCATCAGTTTGAATGGCATAATCGATGGTTAATTTGGGTGATCGAGTTGGATGTGTGATGATATGTGATTCTGACAGGAAGGCCGGGAAGTCATCGAATCTGGCGCGGAACTGGTAGAACTCGGTGAAGACGGAGAGCGTCTCGTCGGACGTGCCGGTGGAGATGGCCGCCGCCAGTGCGGGGCCGAAGGCGGCGATCCGCAGGATGAAGTCGAGGAACGCGAGGCACCGGCTGCCGCGGTGGTGGTCGCCGCGCCGGAAGAACGGGATGCCGACCTTGCGTGGCGCCACCGCGGGAGCCGCGGCGGGCGCAGCAGCAGCAGCAGCAGGGACGGCGGAGGAGGTGGCCGGGGCCTTGCCATGGTGGTCGTGGATGGGGATGCTGACGGCGGCAGGCTCGCCGGAGCTCATGATTGATAGCTAGTTTGATTAGCTTTTGCTACAGGTTGGCTGCGAGATAGTAAAGTGGTTTTGGCTGCGAGATGAGAGCTGTGCACGAGTTGCATCTGCATGAATAGATGAGATGGATTTATAGGTAAGTTTTGTGCAGAGGTTTGTGCAGCGGGTAGGGTGGTGTGGTTCGTGGACAGAGTGAGTGTGCGAGATAAAGCGGAGTTGCCGAGTTAAGAGTGGTTGACAACTGCTACGCGAAGCGGCCGGGCATAGTAGCAACAGATGCACTAGTCGCTAGTGGCGTTCGTTGACACACGGAATAAACAAAAGCTTTGGGTCAGTAGTAACGTACCGAAATCGATTGCAAGTGCAGCAGAATGGTGTTTCATTCGTGCGTGCATTGTGCGCTGCGCTGGCAGCGGCAGCCGCAATATTGCCGTAAGCCTGGATGTAGGAGTACCCTGTCCTGCTTGGCTCCAGCGCCGAGCTAGGAAAAACTCCCAGCTTTCTCGGTTTCCTGAGCCTCTCATGCTGGGGGAATTTCGAGCACGTCATACTGACTAAACTCAAGCCTACGCAGCGCGTCTGTGCAGGATCCGGCTACCAATCTCGCCGTGGCGAGCTAACACAGTAACGCAGTCCGGTTTTAGATGCGGCAGCGCCCTCTACACCTTCGTTGTGTTTGCCGTTCGATCGATCACGCTGCCACCACCAGCAATGCCGTCTCCCAGCTTTAGTGACCACCAGCAACTCCAGTTCTTACCGAAGCTCAAGCGGCATTACCGGTTTACTCGTCAAAGGGACGCACACATCAGAGGTTTTAGTTGACCGTTATATTCTAGTACCAAATTGAGCAGCACAGCATTAAACTGGACCGGGGGTGATGAGCCCGTCCAAGATTTGCAAATGAACCAAGCCCTTCAACACTGCCAATTTCCGCCTGACAAGAATTCCACGATTTTCTCTAGAATATACCAATGGGGGCTAACACATATGAAACAAAACCAAAAAGAAAAGAAAAATGACCTGGAGAAAACACAACGCTTGCTGTACAAGTTTACACGCCTACCAGCAAGATTGACATGTACATCAACAACGCCTTTTGATAACAATCCCTTTTTTTTTTTCGTTTTCCCATTTTCTTGGGTAGGAGGAACCAAGACCAAGTTTTGCCCTTCCCCCATCAATGTCGTGTCTGCAGGACTTATTCACCTTCAATGTCTTTGCAATCTCTTTCAGGGCCTCTGCTGTCGCTTTCTTCCATATATACATCCTACATGAACATATGGACGAGGGACGACCTTCCGCACGTGCAAATCAGAACAAGGTTAAAGAAACCCCTAGCCAAATTGACAAATGAACAACAGCTGCTTCCATGTCCAATGATTGTTCACACCAAAACACCTGCCACAAGCAGAATGACGGTGAATTAAAAGAGATGGCAAACAATACCTCACTTATATTAATGTTTTCCTTCCAAATATCAATTGTTCATAGAACATCTTAAGCCTGTTCTAAGTAAGTTCAAATAACAGTATTTCAGGTTGCATATAAGTTTTTTCCGAGTGATGGCACTGATGGATTTAATGGCTACACCAGTAAATGCCATTTGTGACCAAATATGGTAGCAGATTTGGTGTTAGTGTTATGAGCCACAATATGGCAACAGAAACTGCATTGCACAAAGATGTTTACAACCTTATGATTAACCTAGTAGCTAAAGTCAAATTCATCACATTTATCCAAACACTGAACTTATACTGATTACTTGGGCTACTGAGTTACTTCAGTAGTAGGACTTGTTAGAAGCATATACCTGAAGTTATGTGCATTTTCTGAACTACAAATTTGTTCAGTCATATTCAATGTCCACTGCTGCTACTTGTCTCATGGGCACAACCATCCTTGATTGCTTCTTGAGCTTCATTCTCCATGCCTAAAGAAAGCAGAGCAGCAGCCTGAAGATAAAATGCAGTTGGCCATGTTGGAGATATTACTAGCGCTTGCATCGCATCACTGAGAGCTTGTTCTGCCTTGTCATTCATCAGATATGACAGGCAACGCCGCGCATAAATGGTCGGAGAAACCATCGTACCAACTTCAATGAACTGCATACAACAAATGGGAGCAAAGTCAAAAATAGCTGTGAGGATTAAAAGTTTTTCCTTTTCAATGGACTGATGGTGTTTACAGATAGTCACACGGTCCAGAAATTGTTGTTTTCACATACACTTTTTTTTTAAAAAAAAAAAGATTAAATGGAACTGTTCATACTATGTTGAATACTAATTACATTTGATCATGCAACTCTCCTGACACTTCTCACAAACCCATATAGAATATAAACACAGATGCAAAATCAACCTGAGAATAACAGTCAATTGCAGAAGAGAAGTCCTTTTGTCGAAAAGCATTGTCACCCTTCTTCTTTGAGTTCAATGTATCTTGCATTTGATTGGTCCACATCTGAAATGAGAGCTGCAGCAAACAAGGAAAACAATGGATCATGCAACAGCATAACAATATAACGAGGATGGTTGCTAAATCATTCAGCATGACAAAGTTTCAACTACGTATATAACTACTCACAATATCCGACTGACAACTGGTTTCACATCGTCACATGCTGCAACTATGTAAATGTCACACTCAGAATATTTGGTGACTTTCCAACTGACTATTTTGCTTTAACACACTGGAACTAAGGAGATGACAAGCAGATCAGCATAAAATCATGTCAACTATAGTTGCTCTAGGATCAAAGTGAAATGAACATGAAGAGAATTCTTACACTAAAATGTATTCCAACAGACATCTAAAAAAGCAAAATGCAATCAGCATGCCATCGATAACAATATTTCTTGAGGTAGGACATAAAAGATGCAATGAGCCCATGAGGACTAACAGTACAAATGATTTTATAGAAAAGATTCGCTTGCTTGTAAATTCTGAGAATGCTCCATCAAGATTGACATACAAACAAAGATTCTCACGAAAAGACCACACAAATCATACTGGCAATGATGTCAAACCCTAAAGAAAGTAAAGAAGAGGGGAAAAAAAACTAAAACCTCATTTGCTGTTCCCTCATCATCCTTGTAGCCCGTCTTTTCTAGGATTTCATGTATTGCTGTCAGATCCTTTCTGGAACAAGCTTCAGCAAGAGGAGAAAGAAGCAATGACTGAACAGATGTTGCACCACCACGGGGTATATCCATCAGTTCATAAGATGGAGTCTGCAAAATATTTCAACATTACTGCAATTACAATATTATAGAACTTCAAGTCCAATGAGGATGCCAAAATCACCCTGTTATAATATTTTGATAGATTAACTTTCAAGCTGAGAATAAAAAATGTACACAAGCATAAATGGCGTCAGTCGTGGAAAGCTTAGGGAGGGACTAAATATATGAAGAGTTTAGATATAGAAATAACTAATTTGGATATATAGGTTGAAATAGAACAAATTGAAATTCATGGCGTAATTTTCTCAACATAATTTTAGGAGACCTGAACTCAACAGTGCCATAGTGAGAAAGGGAAGTGGAAAGATATTCACCTCAAGATCCTTCTGAAGAGGAGCCAATGCTTGCACCAGAGATCTTACATTAGGTCGTTCACGAGGTTCATAGTGCAGGCATCTTGAAGCTAATCGCACTAGTTCTGTCCCTTCCTCATTTGAAAATTGACCCTCTAAACAGGAGTCTGTCAGCATGTTAAAATTCCGATCTCGAATCAGGTCAAGGGCCTGTCATATTTGCACTCATATTAGTTAGTCTGTTGAAGATGAAGATATGCGAAGCCAAGTCTTATTTATTGCTGTATCCATTGTTCTAAGTAGCAGCCTTAATGACCTTGATAGTGCGATAAAGGTCCTTATAGTGGTCCAAAGAAAAGGTTATCTTTTACTTAGATTCCTTGAGAATATTATTTTTCATCCTTCAAAAGTCTAAACAAATAAGTAGTATTGACACATTGTGAATGACATAATGTATATATGAAATATTTAGGATTCATATTTATGCTTTTATTATTGTATGTACATATTTATATTTTTAAATTGCTAAACTTCTTTCAAGGATGCATATAGAAAAAAAAAATATTCAGTCATGACAGGATGCAAAAGCAGGAAGTGTAAAATGGTGCTAGATGAAATAAAGCTCAAAGGCATACATGGCTAGGAGGAATATGCTTCCCACTAAGAACATCCAAAAGCAAGGTACCAAAGCTGTAAATGACACTCTCAGGTGTGATACGTCCTGCAGGTAAACCAAAAGAGTGAGTGAGACAAATTGTAATGTAAAAGTAACAAGACTTCATATTTTACAGCAGTTGAACACTTGAACTTAGACACAATTGACCAAATATGAATTCACCACCAAGCACAATGAGGGGGGGGGGGGGGTTCTAGATGTACAATTCTGCTAAAATCAAACCAAACGTCATTTAAAGGGATAGAAGCACTACGAAAATCATTACGGTTCAAACTGTAAGAATCCAATGTAGGAAGTTATGAAAATGCTGCAAAAATTTAACATAATTTCAAACCACGTAGTATTGGAATGCTCCAGAGAAAAGTTGACCCTACTAACTTTAAAGGTTAAAGGATAATAAGATTCAAACCAGGGTATGCAACAACGTTATTAGACGACCAGAAAGATCATGTGCAGATTATAACACTCACAAAGAAAGACTAATTAAGCTTTACGATGTTTGAAAAGTAAGAAGGTACCAACCAGTTCTCATGTACTCTGGAGGAGTAAACGCCAGATTGGTACTGTAGCTTTTACCATCTCGACTGTTCTTCATGAGGCCAAAACATGAAAGCCTAGGGTTACAGTCCTGTGCCATGTAAACAACATAGAAATGTTACAAAACACACAGATGATCACGTTACAAAAACAATCTATATGATACTCACATCATCAAAGAGAACTCTGTAGGCATTAAGATCATGGTACAGAGCACGCCCCTTGCTGGTGCAATATTCTAAAGCCTCAGCCAGATAGAGAACAACTCTTAATCTCATGGGCCATTTCATTGCTTGCGCCTCCCCTGGGAAATCATACAATAATAAGTTTGAAATATTACATCAATTTCAAGATTGCTGGTATTGCATCATTAATAATGCAAGACATTATAAAAGATGTATGGCAGGAAATGCAGTTTCGATTGTTGGAAAAAGTATGTCAAGGAATCTCCCCAAAAGTTCAGATGCATTGGTGAACTTAGAGGCCAAAAAGAAAGCTCCAATACAGAGTACACGAGTCTTTGAAGTGAACATATAGTCTTCTCTCACGTGGCAAGTACTAATTGTCATGGTGAACAGTGTTATGAAAAGAAATTAAAGCAGCATGTCCAATTTACTCTCAGTTGCTACTCTAGATATCCTATTTATATATGATGCGGAAATGTAACCATGAACAGAACCCAGTTACTAATTGATGTGATGACAGCAACATAAAAGTTCTAAGGCATGCGACAAGAAATGCATGGCAACTCACAATGGAAAAGATGCTTCGCTAGTGTGTCATTGGGCATGTATTCTGCAACAAGCAATCTCTCGTCACCTTCGCAGCAACAGCCAAGCAAATTGCTAACCTTTGCTCCGAAGTTGTCCAACTGATTTAGCTTCTTCCTGAAGCATAGTTGTTTCCACCAAAAGGATTATTAGATGATCTTAGAGAATTTACCACAAAAATATATGGGTAATCAAACAAAAAGTTGCGTCAACAAATAGGAAGTAGATTCCACCATCCACTCACACAACAAAATGCCATCAATATGGAAAATGGGCTGCTTAAAGTTGTGGAAGAAAACCTCTATACTTGCCATTTTAATAGTATGTACAATAGCAATCAGAAACAAATGGCATGGTGGTGAATTAACATGTGACAGTTAGCAAAATAACAAGGCATATAAAGCATTGTCCACGGGAAGAGCTAGAACTAATGCAGTCAAAAATACATAATGTTAACAACAGGTAATAGTAAGTTTATAATTACTGAGACACTAACTCACACATAGCAATTAATGGAGTGATGTAGCAATCAAACATGTAATCCACAAAATGATGGTGCTACTAGCTGTAATGATTGCTGTCTGATACTTGTTTAGTATTGGAATCTAATAATCATACCAAAAAAGATATGTTGTGCAAACAGTTGGCAGATGCCACAATTTGAACTGCAAGCCATCATATTCCACCCAAAAGCCAAATAAGTAAAGAACAAGCATGCATATCATCTCAGGAACAGGTACACATCAACAACCTCCATGATAAGAGACAACCCAAACCTAGAAACCAATTCATGCACTTATAAATAGAACAGAATCTACCATTCCCACAATAACCACCACGTACCCAACTACCATTGGCACCAAGCAAACGCACATCGTTAGCAATGCAAAAGGATTAAGGTGAAGACAATAGGATACCAAGAACTGCCGCGGGTCAGGCCATGCAGAACGGTTGAACCTCTTCACAGCGATGCGACGCTGCGCGTCGAGCTTCCCCTTGTACACCACATTGGGCGCCTTCTCACCATGCTCAGACACGATGTTCTCCACCGCAAAGCCTGAGGTGGCCAGCCTCAGCTGCTCGAAGGAGAATTCCTGAAAGGCCGGCAGCTCATACGACTCCCCATGGTCCTCCTCCGCTACAGATAAACATGTATTCCGCTCAAATTACTCCATTACCACAAGCTTGCAGCCAAAAATCACTCGAAGATGCAGAACTAACAAAACTAATCAGCACCCCCAAATCACTAGCAGAAACGCTATATAATATGTAAACAGGCGCACATAAATCAGAAATAGTTTGACCATAATAACGCAGATATCACCACCAAATGGATAGGTGGAACAGATTAATGGCTACCGGAGTCAGTTTAACAACGTTCCAAATGCGGAGATGTCGACCCAATTTAACGAATTAATGGCCATATCTAGGCGAAAATAGAGCAAACTCGGGGGACAAATAAAAAGTAAGATCGCGAGCGCCCACAGCTTCTGGAAAAGGGAAAGCGAGCTCCAAAAATAGCAGCAGAAAAAGGGGGAAAGATAGATAGATGGATGGATAGATAGAGCATTCTGGAAGGCGCAGAGAAGCATATCACGCACCCGTCTTCTCCGAGCTCTCGACGACGACTCCATGGTGCTGCGAGCGGCAGCAGCAGCAGGCCACCGCCTTGGACACGCGCCCGCCCATTTCGATCAGCAGCCCGCCCCCCTGCAGGAAGCGAACAGAGCAGCACACCCTGAGAAAGGAGACGCGAAGCAACGGCAGCGGCGCAGAATTCGAACCCCCCCGCGCGCAGCGGCCGCCGTTGGGTGCTCGGATCTGCTCGCGCGGCCGAATCGAGAGGCGCGGCGCGGCGGCGGCGGCGGCGGCGCGACCACTCCAACCTGAGCAAGCAACCGGAGCGGCGCCGCGGCGTGGAGGAGGGGGGGAGACGGGGGCCGGATTGGATTGGATCTCTCTCTCTCTCTCGCGGCGCGGCCTCTCTTGGGGTTGGAGGGCTTGGGGTTGAGGCTGGCTGGCTGGGTGGCCGCCGCTGCAGCAACTATTATTCGCTAATACCGCTACAACCCCGTTGCTAATGAATGGGGTTTATTTCGCCGGGAATATTATCGTTGCCGTTGCTGCAGCTGGAGTATTATTAATTAATCAATTAGTTATTTAACTATTACTATCATTTGTTTATTTATTTATTTATTTATACCGACATGCCTGCGCTGTACTGGGTAACTGGGACAACGGGGTTGGTTGCGTCGTGATTACGAGCTCTGAATTTAATCCCGCGCGCGGTAATTACCTACTCTGCTGTTTGGCAGTAAAACGCCACGGGCAAGTTGGCCAAATTGGGTGCGTTTCCAACACCGGGAAGCGCGACTATTCGTGGTAGTTCGTGTGCTGCTCCAGTAACCGCACGCCGGCCGCTGCGTGCCGTCGCCGGGCTGGACACACACACGGCCACCGCATCTATCAAAAAAAAAGTATAAAAGCCGTACTAAATGTTTATATTTTTTGTTTTGCTTGTACTGGTTTTTCTCCTGATAAATCATACTCCCAGCTAGCTGATATACGAGCTGGAATGGAACTTGGAAGCTATAGGTAGGAGGAGCAGGTTGCATCTGATGATGATGATGATGAGAAAAGTCTAGTTAATTTGTTCTCGACTCGTGCACACGCACGTTTGCGTTGGCAGACGAAATGATGAAAAGAGACTCGGACGCTTTCTCTTTCTGCCAGCCTCAGTACGTGCGAGTGAGCGATATGCGGGGACCAAATCTTCGTATAAAAAATATACTCCATATGCGGCATCTGTGTGCCTGTGCGCTACTACAACAAACCAGCAGGTAATTTTATTCTATCCAACTTGCGTTTTCTGCAGGTTTGGTTTGACCACAGTTCAAATGATAGTAAACTAGATAAACATCACTGTTACTAGTAGCGAATACAGTATGCTTCTGACTTGGCAATCGATCACAAAAGTCAAAATCGTTGTGTGAACCGACCGATATTAGCTTGTACTGTATGTGTACACGCTACGACATGTACGTAAGTACGTTCAGACAGGCAGCATCAAGTCGTCCTGTACATGGCCGTGCATCTTTGCAATAAAATTGCTGCTTACCAGTATTAATTAACTCGACGATGACAAACCGGAATTAATGTCCATAAAACAAATAAATCAAGCTGCCAAAAAGCGAAAGCGATGCTGCAAGGAAGAGAGCAGAGCAGTAGCTATCCCGCCTGTGGATAAAAGAAACGAAAAGAATGTTGAGATTGGCATGGATCGATCGATCCGTCAAAAGCCAACCTACGACAAGAGAAAATGGCGCGGCAACTTACCTTTTTTTATTTTTAATTTTCTTTTTGGGGGTGAATGGCGCAGCAACTTTGGTGAGGTCATGAGACTGATTGTTCGGCAAAACCAGACCAACCAAACGGAGGGAAGCCCAATCAAGTTCGCTGTTTACACGTAACGTAAGTAGTAGTATTTGTCGCTGACGAGTGTTTAGACGGTTGATCATGTGCTCCACATCTTTAAAAATGTGTTTTCTCAACGAAATTCTAAATTCTATTGCATTGTTTGAACCAAAATTTATTTTATTATTTTTTAAAAAAATAATATTTGATTTACCTTATCAAACAAACAAATAATTCGTTGCAAGCCGATCGGAGTCGGCCAGGCCGTTAATTCCGTTCGGTGCTGCAGAGCTGAACTGGCGGGCAAGCCAAGCGGCTGTTAATCGGGCCCCACTGAGCCAAAAGCGAACAGGTCGATTTGATCTGTAACCTGCGTGTCCGCTCCCGCGATGCGCTGCATCACTACAGGAGTAATATTTTCAGGTGGTGTTCTTTTCTTGCAGAAATGAAGATGAAAATTAAGTTTTTTACGTTGATTGATTGAGATTTAATTATTATAAACTTAAAAAATATATTAATATGATATTTTAGAGCAAACTTCATATAAAAAGTTTTCGTACGAAACATACCGTTTAGCAGTTTGAAAAGCGTACCACGAAAATCTTAATATTCATTCATTTCTTGTTGGAGAAAAGAGCAGGACCATAAGTTAGCGGCTGATTCGTCGTGCAGCTACTGTTGTGCTTGCTATCATCATGCTACTCCCTCCGTTTCAAAAATGTTTGACACCGTTGACTTTTTAGGACGTGTTTGACCATTCGTCTTATTCAAAAATTTTAAGTAATTATTTATTCTTTTCATATCATTTGATTCCTTGTTAAATGTATTTTCATGTACACATCTAGTTTTACATATTTCACAAGACGAACGGTCAGACATGTACTAAAAAGTCAACGGTGTCAAACATTTTGAAACGGAGGGAGTATATCGCTATGCAGCGGATCAGTCGATCATATTGGATTTTATTAAGCTATATGAAGCTAGCCATGTATACCAAAAAAAACGGGGCTTTTAACTATTTGCCACTTTTAGATTTGGCAATTAACTATTTGCCACTCCTATCTCAATAACATGTGGGTCCACATGTGTCTATGACATGGGGGTACAGTAACAAATAGTTAATTGCCACATCTAAAAGTGGCATATAGTTCAATATCTCCAAAAGGAACAGCTATTTTTCTGAGGAGGTATAGTACTCCTAGGCTGGCGGTTGCACGAATGCTCCCAAACCAAATCAGAGTTCAACGTTTTTTCATTATTCTCATACCTAGTACTACTACTACTGCTGCTGTATAAGGCTCCCATCGGATGGCCTAATAAGCCAAAGAAAAAACCAAATTTTAAACTTTTAAACTTAATTTTAAGATTGGTTTTGAGATATTTTCGACGTAGTTTCTTTTTCAGCATTAGCTTTTAAGTCACCAAGAATACATATATAAAAGTTTTACCTATAAATTTACTTTTTTTCTCTAATAAGCCGTTTTGGCTTATTAGGGAAAAAGCCAAATAATGGGACCTTAAAGTTATAGCAGTAGCAGTAAGGACACTTGCTTGATGCTTTTTATTATTTTTCTTCTCAAAATCGGAAGAGGAGATCGAGCTTGACGAAGTTGCCAACCGGCATTGTTTACACCTTATCAGAAGTTCAGAACGACAGCTAAATTAGCATAGATGTCTATCTAGACAGGGGAAATCAAGCAAAAACGTGGGGCCGGACTTCCGTATCATCCCTGCCGACCCTGATTGACATAATAATCACATAAAATACCACTCAATTAGTCAATGATGACGTGTTAACTTACCTTCCCCCATTATGTGGGGTTCAACCGCAACAACAGCAATCCGTTGACCTGATTGACTCATAACGCGTATTGGCCCACTTGTCAATATAGGCCCACGGGCTCAGTCAACTGTCCGTTAGAAAGCCCACCTTAAACGTTTATCTCACGAAGAATATAAAGCCCACTACTAGACGGGCTCTGCGCGATTCAAGCTCATTTATGCTAAGTCAGCAACTGAAAGGAAATGCCCAGCCCACTTCGATCTCTCCTCCTCCGCCTCGCGCTCTGCGGAAGTGCGAATCCGCGGCGTTGCTCTTCCTCTTCCTCTTCGATGCTGCGTGGGCGCCGCGGATTTCGCCGTGAGCTGGCGGGGCAAACATGCTTGTGTTTCTGTTGCGTCTCAGGCCTCTACCGGCCACCGCGCCATGGGATGTCTGATGTCTCCGTGATGTTGCTTGTCGTGGCACGCTTGGCGCGTGCGCGCCAAGTGTTCGACGGAATGCCGGCCTGCAGTGATGCCGCTCAGTTACCCTGTCTCCGGTTGCACTATGCACCCTGTCAACCCTGCCTGCCCGTTGCTGCGGTGAACTACATCCTATAATTGCATCGCCACTGTCCGCCATGGTCACAGCTCACAGGCTTGATTAACCATCTCTTTCAACTTCTCCAAGCATGCAACTGTGCTTCTACAGCGCCTGCTGGTTTGGATTCGAGCATCTCACTGCTTTAGGACCAATCGATCTCTTTCTTTCTTCCTGACATGACTATATCTTTCTGGTTGGTGTGCTGGACTCCATGCCGTCCACTATGCCAGCACTGTGCTGTGGGCATCAGTTAGCTGGTAATCATCCCAGCTCCACACTCGTGCTGCTTCGGCACCGCGGCTCCGATAAATCTAATCATCGGCACTTTCAAGTGGCGAGCAGAAACTTTCTCCAGAGTATAAATTGCCCAGCATTGGGGGAGCTTGATGATCTGGACTGGAATCGCCCTTTTTCTTGTTGTTCTTCAGCACCAGAATTCAGAACACTCAGTTATGTGCCAGCCTTGATGGTTTCTACGGGGAGAATGCTCCTGAAAAGGTAACTCTCAGTGCTGCTACCATAGATTTATACACCCTGGGGTTTGGGTACTAATAATGCTCCACATTGGATGCGCTGCTGCTTAGCTTATGTTTCAGTGCACATGACAGAATGCTGACTAGTGCTGATATATGCCACTAAACCATGTGGATATCAGCTTTTTGTTCTGCATCTTTGCCTTTTGTGTTCATAAAGTCACTTGGGTGTAGTTTCATAATATAATTGCTTTTGTGGATGTCCAGTAGCCACCGGCTAGCCCTGTACTTAGCACTTAGCTTGGCACCAACTAGTCAAAAATTTCCATCCTAGAGGAAGGCGTCGCTGGTTCCATAACTAAAACACAGTAACCTGGTTTGGTCTGTTTCCTTTCATCAAATGCCCGACAATCAATCGTCCTCAACGTCCTTTTCCATGTCCAAATCCCACCACGCATGGCTGTCTGTGTTTCTTCGTACATTCCTGAAGCTGGGAAAGCAACGTGACACTGTCGAACAGTGGCCCTGCGTCAACAAAGTCCTCACACGGAACTCTCAAAATATTTCCCCAACACTTGTTTTGAAGTAATTGTAGGGTGCAAATAGCCGGCCAGCTTTTCCCCACAGTGAAATGTTGTTCTCTCAAAAAAAGAAATGTTACTCTCGCACGCACTGTTTCTGAATCGGTGTCTGTCCACAGTGTTCAAGCAGATAATTGTTGTTTCCAATCAAGAAATAAGGAGCATATGGCCTGCTAAAAGAATTTGAACACAAAGTGAAGTGTAGAAGATTCAAACAGAGAAAGTTTTGTCAGGCAAATTTGGTTACTACTTGTTATAGTTTTGTTTGCATGATCTGGCTAAAAATTCGAATACCAACACCAACCTACCTGATGCTGTAAAATAAATATCTTCCTCCGCTGTTCCTTCAATCTTTCTCACCTTTGCCATCCCTTTGAAGGAACTGTTGAAAGTTGCTTTTTCATGTACAGGAAACAACTCTATCTACCTTGACTAACTGGTGTTACTGCGTGCATCCTTGGAGATCTTCTTCGCAACTAGTGCCCTCAAAGTGGCTGCACAAAGTGGTAGTGACTTGCAAGAACTTTGCATTTTCCCTGATAATGTAATTGGGCTAGAAGTGGAGCATTTCCATCTGTGAGTAAGTCATTTCAAAAGGTGGAATCATGTCACTGTTTTGCCTCTTTCTTTTTACTCAGTCCAGAACATAGGAAAAGGGCAGATATCTAAAAGCTTGCCTCATCTTTTGTAGGCAACGCAGGAATTCAAAGGAGATACCGTCTTGGATTGAAAGTTGAGAAAACGAAAAGGCGGGATGGGAATTTCTCATTGTGGGATTCTAGAAATTTTAGACCGGACTAAATCCTGTCTTCTGCGGGTAAGTGATCTGTCCAAATCACATGAGCTGTCTACATTATGTTGCTTCATGTTCAAACCACATAGGATTTTCCAGGACAAATTTTACTAATATGCAGGAATGCTTTTGTTCTTGGTAGAATAATATCTCAAGAATGGATGGGTAGCTAGATCAATATTACTGCTTTGTCTGTTGGTTTTGTTTATCAGTTTCATTTTAATACACTGCATAGGAATGGTAAAAATTGGTAAAAATAGTGGGAAAGGTAGAGGAGAGGAGAAGGAATGATGGCGGGGAAGAAGTTTGAAAGAACATATGGGTCCGACGTGGAGGCCCACGTGAGCCACAATAGGAGGGCAGGAGGACGTAAGCTCACAGCGCGTGGGCCCGGTTCTGTTTTGTGGGCCAAAGTGGGCCGGGCGCGGTGGGCCTACCTCTCCGCTGCTCAGACACTTCACATGACGCTTGTCTTTGCGAAGGTTTGCCACGTGGGCCCCCCCTTGGGCACACACAGCATACGGAAACAAATACGCAGGGACACCATCTGCCAGTGTACTGGTGTACAGTGTATACCCGTACGTGCCTACCTATCCTAGCCAGCATTCCAGCTACGCCTACGATCTGATTCCGTCAGCCGTACGTGGCATCTTCCTCTCTCTTTCTCAAACATTTTATAATTTGGAATGCATCATGAGTTGATGACCATAGGAAATCCTAAGATACTTAAATAACAAATGAAAAACCGTGTGGACTGGGTAGCTGAACAGGTATACTAGTGTGATGATTATAGGAAGAAACACATGGTAATTAACTAGAGAAAATAATGGAGTGCAAATGGGGGAGAAAAAAAGTGTCCGGATCCTGAGTGAATTTGGTAGGTTTGGCAACTTGCACTGCAGAAGCCGACACGGCCGGCTGGTTGCACGCGTGGACCACATATGCATGTACTCCAGAAGCCTTCTCACCCTTTTCTGCTTTGGCGGTCACTGAGAATTCAAAATAATTTACCCAGAAAAACCAACGGCCATTTTAACTTGGATATATTCTATCTCGAAAAGTCGTCGAATCGTTGGTCTAGTTGCAAGTAGTAGCAGTAGTTTAACGATCGAAATGGCGTTTGGCAAGGCTAGCACCAACTAGTTGCTTTGCTTTGCTTGCAAAAGAAAAACCTCTTTTTTAGTATATATAACGGATAAAAAGAAAAGCCTCTCTGATAACTCTCTATCCAGAATTAATGCGCTGCTCACTGTTCCAAAGGATGATGCTGCCTCCAGCACGATCGAAACCTCCATACGGCAACTGTGTCCGTCCGTCCAATGTACAGTGGCTGACATAGAAATATGCTCTCGAGTCGAGTATATATAGAGAGAAAATACAAAAAAAAACACCCAATTTTAAGAGAGATCCTTGATAAGTGCGAGTTTCATAGAATGTCATCATACAAATGACTTTACTCTAGAAATGTTATTGTCGTTAGGGTTCCGTTAGCAGTTTTTGGTTAAGTGAGCGGGATAGATGGAACCCTAACAATGACATTTTGTAGGACAAAGTTGATTGTACGATGATATTTCGTGGAACTCGTACTTGTTAATAACATTTCTTGAAATTAGACTAGTACAATGATATTTTAGATTTTTCTGTATATATTGCAGGAATAATCCAAATATATACTAGTGAGAAATTATTCAAAAATAAATATATGAACAGATCGAAGTGCCGATATTTGCTGTGGTCGCAGTGGTATGACTGTGTGTGCTGGGTCCAGTTTTGGTGGCTCCAGACACGGACAGGCAGGCACTGGCAAGCGGAGGAAGGGAGGCCGGAGGTCGTGAACAAAACGGTTGAGCACACGTCGTTGTTTTCTGTAGCACGGCCCGGCGGAATCCAGCGACTCTCTCTTCGCCTTTGCATACTTGTGCTCCTCCCTTTTGGACCTTGCTTGCTTTCGTATTTGGACCACCCTACTGTAATGACCGAAATGCCCCCGTTTGTCCTTGCTCGTTTCTTCTTTTTTTTTACTACTTCCTCCGTCCCCAAATGAAACCATTTTTGAGGTTGGCACGGGTATTAAGAAAGTAGGTGAGAATGATTGGAGGAAGTGTGTGATTGGTTGAAAAGAGAAATTAGGTGAAGAAGAATGGTTGTGATTGGTTGAGAGGAGGTAGGTGAAGAAATAGCTTCATTTTAGGACAAGACACTGTGCTAGAAATAGCTATATTTTGGGACGGAGGGAGTAACTCATAGAGTAAGTGCAACAATTACTATTTTCCACGGTAAATTTTTTTTTTTTGACAAATTGGCTCTTTTAAAAAATTTTAAGCAAAAATGAACCGTGATCTAAATGTAAGTAATTATAGGTCCTTAGTAAAGATTAAGGATAATATGTAAGATTTCTCTCATTGTTAAATTTCGATTTTTGAATTGCTTTTATGTCCCATTGAAGTACTTGATTGACTGAAAATGCTTGACTTTCCATGTATTGGAATCGGCATTCTAAAAGTGTTTATTGTTAAACTTTGGATGGAAGGGAGTAAATATTCTGTACTTAGAACTACTGTCTAGCTGAAGTTGATTTTTATCAAACTGTATTGATAGAGGGCATGCAGGTATTGCTAATGCTAGCTCGATCGTGTTGATGATTGATTTTTCTTTTGAACGAATGTATGTGTTGATGATGGATTGATGGTGCAATTAGTCAGGCAGAAGCTTGCTTAGCTATCTGGGTCAGGGTATGATTAATTGTGGGTTTAGAGCTTGTCTGTCCTGCAGGGTCATGCGTTCGTGCGTGCATATCGTTGTTGTTGCATGGATACATGAATGAATCGATCGATCGATGGATGGTCCTACTAGATACTCCCTCCGTTTTTCCATAGATGACGCTGTTGACTTTTTCTTATATGTTTGACTATTCGTCTTATTTAAAAATTTTATGCAAATGTATATGATATAAATCATACTTAAAGTACTATGAGTGATAAAATAACTCATAACAAAATAAATTATAATTACGTAAATTTTTTGAATAAGACGAATGATCAAACATGTGAGAAAAAGTTAACGGCGTCGTCTATTAAAAACGGAGGTAGTATGTATGCCCAACCGTTAATAATTAATCTATTTAGCAAGTTGCATGCATGTGCAACCCATTGATCGACCCCATATCATGCATATGCATGCCTAATGTGGCAGTGCAATCAAGAGGGGCCGACCCAAACCATGCATCTGAATTAATCTTTCTTCTTTTCTTGTATGTTTTTTTTTCTTTTGCTGTTGTTGCCAGATCTTTCTTCTCTGTCTATCAGTCAAATGCCCTGTGCATAAATACATACTCCTCTTTCCGTTTCAAAAAAAAAAACTAGTTCTAACTATAAATCTGGACATTATAATGGTATGGTTCCAATTTTCCTTTTTTTTTTAAGGGAGTAGATCATACGTTGCATCTGTAGCTCAATTTGATGTTCCCCCGTGTGGGTCTCGATCGTCTCAGGTTCAGGAATTCAGATCGACGTACATATCATATGGCCCTACACGGCAGCCTGCCAAGTCGGTAGGTAGGTAGGTAGCCAGCAATCGAGTTGATCGATCGATCGATCGATCAAGCATTTGAGCGTGCATGCGGTGCAGTCGTGCATCTAGCATGTGTGCGTGTGTGTCAGTGTGTGAAATGGCCAAATGCTGCTTGCAACAACAATGCATCAAGTTACGGATTTAGGTCTTTTTCGTGGGGTTGACTGATCCCACAGTTTTTTAAAAAACATCCTATAAACCTTAATTTTTAGATATAAATAAAAAAATAAAGAAATAACGTACTCCAATATAAACCACTAGTAATTGATCTCATATGTTTTAATTCCCCGCCACTTTATACACGAATCGCGCCGGGTGGCTGTGGATTGGATTAACTGAACTACGGCCGTCCCTGTAACCCCCGCACGCGCGCGTGTACTGTTAACTTATCTACCTAGCTGTAGCTATTTGGCTTCCAACTGCAACATGGAGTGTTTGCTATGCTATGGAACGCCCAAATATTTAAAGCTGCTAGCTACCTATACATATTCATTCAAGTATAATGTGTAGTACTAGTACTAATGCTTATTTGTTTTCTTCAATTCCAAACCTTAAATTTCTTGCTTTTCAAACTGTTAAATGATGTATTTGTTATAAAAAAATTATATAGAGGTTGTTTAAAAAATAAAAAAATCATTTTCAAGTTTATATAATTATTAATACTTAATTAATAATATCTTAATGATATTTCCCATTTCGCGTGCACTGAAAAACTCTCTCCAACTTCTGGAAAGAACGCAGCATTAAGAAACAGATATAATTCAAAACCTTAGGGATAAACGCAAGCTATATATTCTTTTTTTTTAAGAACAACGCAAGCTATATACTCGATCAGATCATATCAAACTAGGCGGTTACGACGTTGGATATATACTTCATATCCTAGCTACTCGATCTAGCGGTTGAAAACAATTCATTGGCTTCTGTCGGGGTTAAACTGCTGAACATCCTTCGTGCTAATTACTATTGTATACATCTATATATTCTACAAATTAATAAATGTAAACAGTGAGAGTACTTCTCACTCATGCACACACACATATATATTTTTTACTACAGTTAGCTGTGCACAAAGAACACATGTGCAATATAGATCAATGAATAGCCATTTCACTATGGACGAAGACTGGATGCATGACACTCGTGATCGACTGTTTTTACATGGATATGGATCAGTCAGTAATTTCTTCTCGTTGTATAATAACTAGGGATAAAACGAAACTAAAGTGAAACTTAACGGGCATTGCCAGGGGTAGAGTCGTAAATAAAAAGATGGGCAGCAGCAGCAGGAGAGAGAGAGAGAGAGAGGTCAGCATTGGAGTGGGCAGAAGTAGTACGCCAGACATTGGGTACACTAGCATCTCCGTGGTGGGCCCTTGTGTTCCCCGGCCCATCAACCTCTCTCTCTCTCTCGATCGCCTTCGCCTTCACTTCACACGCCCAAACTGTGAAGCTAAGCTAAGCTTCTCCGCTTCTCCATCTCATTGCCCTGTAGCTTTCGCCTCCCTCTTCCAGCTAGCGTTGCTTGTTTCCATTTCCTCTCTCTCTCTCTCTCTCTCCAGCTAGCCTATCTCTCTCTATATCAATCTCGATCTCCATGCCATTGCACTCGAGCAGGCTCAGCTACCTCCTTATAAACCCCAGGCTAGCACCTAACTATAATACCACTATACACTTAGCTTAGTGTTTACCTAGCTAGCTAGCAGCTGGCTGCAACAAACATTCTGCATGCACTTTGAATTCTAGAGATAGGAGAGTTAATTAGATAGCTTAGCTACCACAATGCATGCGTGCAACCTGATAGCTTAGCTACGCGTAGTTGCCAATTCAACCGGCCGACATATATATCGGCCTGAGGAAACTAGTGGAGGACTCCAAAGGGATCGCATTGATCTGGCTAGCTATCTCGATCGATCGCCTCATCGATCGACGACGACGTGCGTGATCGATCAGTGCAATCCCTTTGGAATTTTCCTCTTGCTTCCGCCTCCTCATCTTCCTTGATCGATCGATCCTTTGCCTGCTGGACGCGCTTGCCTGCCGGCTTGCTTCTTCCATCGCCGCCTTGATCAATCCGCAAGCTGCTCCAGATTCAGGAGTTAAATCGAAGCCCAACGCTAGCACACAGGTGTGTATCGTATACAATTACTGCATATGTATGCATGCTCCACATCAGTATATTGATCATCCCCGTATACAAGAAATGAACAACAGTAGGAGTAGTATTGAGTATTCTAGTGTTACTTTCTTTTACTTTGAGAACGAATTAATGGCATCTAATTTGTGTAAGCAAATTACTACTGGTTTCACTAGTCCTGAATTGTAGATGTAAGCTACTAGCTGTTAGACTATAAGAAGCCATTAATTAGTCGATAACAACATGCAATTGCATCTTGTCTTTATTTGACTATATATGTTGTTTTTTTCCAGTATGTATATGTTTAAAGCCCTATCGATCTAACTCTGAATATGCTAAGATAGAGTACAGAAAACATGATGCATATGCACCAGTACTGCTTGCAGGACTGTTCAGACATAATTTAATTTGTTATGCATCTGACCTGATCATCAAGTGGATTGATTGGTGATATATAAATGGTAACAAAAGTATAGTAGTGGAGAAGAAACGTGGAGAATTGGGTTTTACATTAAACTTTGCACGGTACAAGACATTAGACATCGATCGGTGCCTAAGCTAGTTGGAATTTTGCAATGATCTTCCCTTTTTCTGATCTTGCTTTTTGTGTGCATTAATTGTTCCGCTTGTTGCTTGAGAGTTGGAGTAGTACGCATCTCGATTGCAACTCATTTTGCGCGTGAATGAGTACCAATTTGGATTCGATCGTCATCGAGAAAGAGACAAGATACATATTTTTTGCGAACGCGTAAAAAAATAGCACGTCAATATATTAGAAGAAACTGATACATACTCCGTAGCTATCTTAATTTTATCTCTCCATCGCATGCAACTAAACTAATGTACTACTATATTTTCTCTTATCAAGAGAAAAGGAACACAAACGATCATTGCACAATATTTCCGGAACCCAAATAAGCTAGCTCTGTCAATGCTTATAAACGTACTCCTATATAAAATATATAGTTGATGATATGCCATGATGCATTATTGAACACAGTGATGTCTGCTGAAAGTGCATATTTGGCAGTGCAAGAAGGTCTTTTGACAGACAGGGTAAAACATATAGAGTCCCGAGTCCCGACAAGTTCAGTTTATGACGATGGAATCAATCAAAGGAATATGGTTCGCACGGCTGAATCGCTGAACCACTCTGAAATCTGAGGGCGTGTTTGCTTGCTGCCCTCAGATTCGCGCCCGGCTCATGCGTCGATCTCAGGCGTCCGATTTCGGTCGCCTGCGGTCGGATCGACCTGCCTGAGCAATGGTCTCCAGGCGAGGGCAGCAACCAAACAGCCCCTGAATACCTGGCTAGCTAAGGTTTCTGATCTATTCTGGCTGATCAGTGTCCATTTTCTTTCGTCCATAAGGCCGAGTGCAGAACAACTTGTATATATATATTTATGTGTTGATCTGGTAATTCAATGTAGTAGCAAAGAGGCAATTGAGGATTCTGCACACACGCATCTACTGTAGCAGAATACTGATGTCTTTTATGTAATCCTGTCAAAGTTACTAGTAAAATTTTCTTTCAGAGAGGAAAATCTCAAAAGATTTCTCAGCCGCTGGCCCCTGGGATGCAGTATTTCCTGGCGGAATTTTGAAGCCCATGAGGCAGTGAAGCCCAGGCACGCCTTGTATGCAGGGCCTGATGGCATGGCGAATTACAAGGCCCATGAGAGATCTGGGCTGTTCGACCTTAGTTAGCGGCAGGGCTTGATGGGCCTACATAAAGCCTCGACTTTGGCGGCCCATGAAGGAAATCTCGTTGCTTTCGGTTTGGTTAATACTAGCGAAGTTGTTGGTGCAATGCGAATGGAAGTCCGCGCTGGGGGGACGTAGCTTTCGGTGGCGCCGCTGGTTCCGTGAACCAACTCGCACTTCCCATCCACGACCCAATCCAATCCTGACGCTCATCGGGGCCATGTGCTGCGCCTGCGCGTGGTCGTGGACGAAGCCAAGCCAAGCCAACGCAAGGCAAAGCGCAGCGCAGCAAGAGGAAGAGGAGGAGCAGTCACTGTTGGAGTTGGTTGGTATCGCCGCCCGCGCCCGCGCCCGCGCCCGGGACGGCCGATCTTATCCTGCATCCAATCCGCCGCTCGCTCCCTCGCTCGCTTATCCACAACAATACTCCCGCGCGCAACAGTCAACACACACACGCGACGCGATGGATGGAGATAACACAACTGTAGTAGTAACGGATACTGCCACCCTTGACACTGTTGACTTTTTAACACATGTTTGACCGTTCGTCTTATTAAAACATTTATAAAATATGTAAAACTATATGTGTACGTAAAAGTATATTTAGCAGTGAATCAAATGATATGAAAAGAATAAATAATTACTTAAATTTTTTGAATAAGACGAATGGTTAAACACGTACTAAAATTTTAACGGTGTCAAATATTTTAAAACGGAGGGAGTAGCAGGAGAAGGCTGCATGCCTGGCTTCAGTACCTCACCGCAACGGAGCCAGAGACGTCCTGAAATCTAGGAGTAATGGCGGCGTGACTATCGCTCGATTCTTCAATTGGCTTTCCTTGGCATGCAGGGCACATATCTGTGACTGATGTGTGGCCCATGAGACTATAAGAGCAAGTTTAATTGTAGAGAGTACTGCTAGCTTCAAATCATTTATTGTCAATCTAATAGTTAATTCATACAATAATTAACTATAAATATATACTATATCATTAATAATTGGTCCCACATGTTATACATACAACATGTTTGGGAGTTTGTATCGCAGCTAGTTATAAATCTGTAGTCCGTTTATCTTCTCTTTCCTCTCTTATCTTCTCCACATAAGCTTGTAGCCGACTTAGGGTGAGTTTGAGGAGAAGGGGATTGAGAAGATTGGGAAGATACGTAAAACGAGGTAAGCCATTAGCGCATGATTAATTGAGTATTAACTATTTTAAATTTTAAAAATGGATTAATATGGTTTTTTAAAGCAACTTTCCTATAGAAATTTTTTTAAAAAAATGCACCGTTTAGTAGTTTGGGAAGCGTGCGCGCGGAATACGATGGGCTTTCTCACCCAATCCCCCAGGAACGAACGCACCCTTATAGTCTAATAGAGCAAGTTTAATATTATAGCCAACTATTGGCTCTAAATCATTTAAAGTTAATTTAGTAGCCAATTCATATAATAGTTACCTATTTTTTGGTCTCATATGTGCTGTAGCTGGCTATAAATCTGTAGCCCGCTGCTCTTCTATCTTCATGCTCTTACTGTACCTGCTCTAACACTGCTCCTCACCTACGGCTGGATCCATTCCATTCCATCGGTGGATCGGTTGACAAGTTGATCATTGGATTGGACAGCAGCCATTATTCACAGAAAGGATCGATGGATGTGCATAAGATGCAGCAGCATGATACAGAGTGAGAGTGGCTCACCCCCCGACGGGTGGGCCCGGCGCAAGCGGGGACGCAACTTGGACGTGTCGTGCTCTCGACGGACGCCTCGCTAGACATCGACCGCCGCCCGCGTCGACGTGATTGCCCCCAAGTGGCCGCTGCGCGCACACTCGAGTCGATCGCTGGTTGGTTGCACACTCGCTGCAAACGCCAGTACCACTCCTACTACTACTCTCCGCGGTAGAAAGAGACGTTGCTTTGCAATTTGGAATATTATTATCGCTGGCGGGAGGTAGCAACATTTCTCGCTTGTTTGTGACCTGTGAGCCATCGACACTAGCTACGATCGCCCGACGACCCAAGCAGCTAGCTTCCCATCGGTCAATTCGTTAGATATCCCATGGTCCTCTTATACTCCATCGATCCGTCGTAAAATATATGGTTAATTAGATCCATACCACTATAATTTTTTGGAATTAAAAAAATACCACTACTATTCATATTAATAACTTCTACTCCCTTCGTTTCAGGCTAAAACACGTTTTGACTTTGGTCAAAGTAAAACTGTTTTTTTTCAACTAAGTTTATAGGCAAATATAGTAATATTTATAATACTAAATTAGTTTTATCCAATCAATAATTGAATATATTTTTATAATAAATTTGTCTTGGGTTGAAAATGTTAACATTTTTTTCTAAAAACTTAGTCAAACTTAAAACAGTTTGACTTTGACCAAAGTCAAAACGTCTTATAACCTTAACCTGAAACGGAGGGAGTACCATTTAATCAAAACTTTTTGGGTGACCCGCGCAGCTGCGGGACCAACACACGTACAAAATTATCTCTTTTTATATATAATTTTACTTAAAATTTGTTAAATCACTATCTCGTTGTCATATAACTTTGAAAACCGAACTTTATCACTTCATGTGTTTCTAATTTTACAGTTTTTAAAAAGTTGCATTAGTAGCTACCCCAAACTTCTAAGTTGCATTAGTCGCTACCCCAAACTTCTTTCTCACCCTTTTATTTGCTTGCTTGATCTACCACGGCTTCTATACATCCTCCTTGAAAAATTTTAAAATTAAATCTAGTAGTTTTTAGAGTTCATTATCTCGTTAGGTTTCGTTCCTATGATTTTAGAAATCCCGTCAAACGCCATTACTATACTACTCTATAATCGGTCCACTGCTTCATCTTTTATTGTCATTGGGATTTAAAAAATTGAACATAATTATCATTGAGTTTAATTATTTTTTTACTTTGTAGAAGTTTTGCCAAACCGTCAGCGACTTCGCCACTACTCCTCTACAGCTCGCCCGTTGCTACCCCTCTTTGTTGTTACTGAGAGTTTAAAAAGCAAACATGATTATCATTGTGTGATTTTATTTACTTTCTAAATGTCCCACCAACAGCCATGACCGTGCTGTTCAATGGTCTGCCCGTCGTCTCCCCTCTCAACCATCATTGGAATTCTATTTGGGTTTTTTTTATAGTCCACCGCTACCACCCCATTTCTTTACGGGGTTATTGCTTCTCCCTTCTCTATTGGTTATTGCTTCTCCTTTCTCTATTGTAATTTGTCATCGTTTGTGTTCTAAATGGATTGTTTTTTTTAATGAAAATTCCATATTTTTCATTCCGATATTTTGTTATTTACAAATTATATTCCTACTTAAACTCTTATATTTTTTATTTTTTATTTTTGATTTTTAATTAATCTCGTGATGTATTCTATATGGTTTCTTCTCTCAATAATATTTATTTTTATTTCGAATTTTTAGTTATATAAAAATTGTACTTTTAGTTGAACTCTTATTTTTATTTTTCTAATTTAGGGATTTAATTTATTTTTATTTTGAATTTTAATTAATGTCATATCGTGTTTTATTTTGAAGTAGATCCGTGAATATCAAATATTACATACAATAAGTAGGCTATAATTACATGGACACACTTTTTATTTTGCAAATACCATATGTGAAACTTTCGAAGACTCCGACCTCCGTTGTACTCCCCCTATATTTTAATGTATGACGCCGTTGACTTTTTGACCAACGTTTGACCATTCGTTTTATTCAAATTTTTTGTGCAAATATTAAAATATTTATGTCATGCTTAAAGAACATTTGATGACGAATCAAGTCACAATAAAATAAATAATAATTACATAAATGTTTGGAATAAGACGAATGGTTAAACGTTGGATAAAAAATCAACGGTGTCATACATTAAAATATGAAATATGAAGGTAGTATGTGAAAGCCTGATATGTCAATTGGTTAGATTTCTTGTGGTGAAACATGCATCTTCAAATTCATTATATTTTAATTGTAAAAAAAAATCTTTAGAGATGGTTACTCTTAAAATTATCAGATTTTTTTTGTCACGGCTAAAATGTAATGAATCTTAATATGAATTTTCGCATATATGTGTAGTACTATTAGAAATAACTGTTTATTTTTTTCTAATTTTTTATGACATTTGCTAGTTGGTGTGTGTGAGAAACCTATATGCATATTTTTCACTTAGACACAGGAGCGGAGCTAGGTAGGATAGGGGGTGCCCAGGAACCCGGTTAAGAAATTTTTTTAAGCTATAGTTCATCTATTTTCACCATATATGCACCTCCCTCAATCCAAATTTAGGCACTTATATCAGTCTAAAGTAGAGTAAAATAAGTGAGTGGCAGCTCTCTTCATTTCGTTCTAGCTCCGCTCCTGCTTAGACATACTATCTCGATATAACAATTCAACCAAGTCTTACGTGAACTATGAACCGCCCAACACAAAGGTTCATGAGATATCCGCCGTTGGTGGTCAGGTGAGGTGAGGTGAGGTGAAGCTTTGGGAAGCATCAACCTTGAAAACCAAGAAAAGGTCGTGGGCGACAGGGCGAGCGCCATAAATATCTGAAAACATCTTGTGGAGAGCTGACAGGTGGGACCCGAGGGGAGGTCCCGATCGGACTGTAGCGTGGGGGCGGGGATCGAGTGGGCGGGTAGCGACAGGCCACCGCCCACCCAGCCCATCCGCGCGCGTGGACGCAAAATGGAGTGGCGCGCGCCGAACGAAACGGAAGCCGCAGCCAGCAAATTGCAAAGGAAGGCAAATCACAAGCAAATCCACCCCCGCGCCGCGCCGCTCGCGCTCGGCTCCGCCTTTTTTCCCTTTCGACGTCGTTGGGCCAAGGAAACGGAACCAAATCTTATCGCCTCCTTGTGTGGGCGCCATCCGTCCCTCCGTCCGCTGCCCATCTCTCTCTCACGCTCGCCGTCCTCTTGTGCCTTCTTGGCTTGGGTTTGCCTGCGCCTGCGCGCGCTTGGCCTAGTTGCATCGTCTGCGTTGCGGCTGCTGCGATAGCATGTAGGCCAACCGCGTCATCTTATCTCTCTCTCTCTCTCTCTCCCCCCATCATTTCATCTGATCTAGTATCTCATCTCCTCCTCCCCTCCTTTTCCTTCTCCCCCAACCAACTCACTCTTCATCTTCAACACCTTGCTGTTCGTCCTCGTCTCGTCGTGCTGATTGTTCAAGAACAGGAGAAAGAAAGGAAGAAGCAGTTTGATTGATCTGTTTCTGTTGGGGGGAGCTCGGTGATCCATGCATGGATGGCAAAGAACTCCTCTCACCGTCCGAACTGTCATACTATGCGCACCAGCAGCATCAGCATCAGCATCAGCAGCATCAGCAGCAACACCGGATGCTCGGGGGCGGAGGAGGCGGCGGCGGGCATAGCGCGTCGCCGCTCGCCGGGATGCACGGCGGCCCGTCGGTCATCCGACCCATGCCCAACATGGGGATGAGCCCCACCGCGATCCTCCAGTCCATCGGCCCGGGCCCGCTCGCCGGCATGCAGTTCCAGATGGACGCCGCGCCGCCGCCGCCGCCATTGATGCACAACAGCATGGCCTCCGTCTCCGCCTCCGCCGGCGCCGGCTCACCCACCGTGCCGCCGTCCGCGACGCCCATGGAGCCGGTCAAGAGGAAGCGAGGCCGCCCGCGCAAGTACGGCCCGGACGGGACCATGAAGGTGTCCACCGCCGCCGCCGCGCAGCACCAGCAGCAGATGCTGAGCGCGCCGCCGAGGATGGGGTCCGTGTCCGGCGCCGACATGGTTGGCGGCGGCTCAGGGATGGACGACTCGGCGCAGAAGAAGCGGCGCGGGCGGCCGCCGGGGACAGGGAAGAAGCAGCAGCTCTCATCACCGGTTAAGCTTTCAGGTAAGTGAATCAAGTGACAGTCTTTATATATGTAGAGAGAGGGAAAGCCTCTGCTTTGCTCTGCACTGCTCTGCCACGTTGATATTTATTTAATCTTTAGTGGTAGATTTCCTTTTTGTTTGTTTTGTTTACTCAAATATTGAATTCTGTCATCCATGTGTACTTTACTTAGAAAAGATAAAAAAATATATCATGTGTTGTTATCTTTTTCAGAAAAGAAAAACAGTATAGTATTCTGTGACTTCCTAATTAATTAACTTAGAGAATTGCATAGGCATTCCTCCTACCCAAAATTGTCCTGCAACTCTATAATACCAAAAAACTTTCAGACTAGGAACTGTCATGACCTTGATGATCGTGTTTGTGCTTGTGCAGGGGGCAATGCGTTCAGTGGCTCAGCTGGAACGAGCTTCACCCCTCACATCATCACGGCATCTCCTTCAGAGGTAAATAAAAATACTCATAGCTCATTCACCGTTACTACAATTTTTTCATCAGCAGAAAATGCAGAGCTGCATGCAAACTGAGAGGGGAGGTAAAACTGAACTGAGCTGACAGGCGACATTGATCATTGTCAGGACGTTGCAGGGAAGATCGTGGCGTTCGCCAACCATTCGTCCAGGGCGGTGTGCGTGCTCTCGGCCACCGGCTCCGTCTCCCGGGTGGTCCTCCGCCACCCGGCCGACGGCGCCATGTCAAGGGTTCACGCCTCCTCCCACTACAAGAACCCTGCCATCTACGAGGTATAACAACTAATTGGTTGGTGCAATGCAATCTTGGTAAGTTTAATTCAGAGTTGCATGTGACAGGAGTGGATTTGATGTTTGTGTGTGCATTGTGGCAGGGGCTGTACGAGATCTTGAGCATGTCGGGGTGTTACAACCTGATGAACGAGGGGCAGAGCGACGGGCTGAGCGTGACGCTGTGCAGCCCCGAGAGGCATATCATTGGAGGCGTTCTCGGCGGAGCATTGGTAGCTGCCAGCACCGTTCAGGTAACCAACCCAATGTTTTAAATAGCGGGCTAAGACATTTAGCGGTTAGCTTCTCAAGCAGCTATAGCAGCTAAATTGTATATGAGAGCAAATAGCTATAACCCTTCTCAAACAGCTATAGCGGGAGATTTAAAACCCTGAACCAACCTCATCTTTTCTTTTTCTCCTCTCCTAGATGGCTAGATCATCTTCATCATCAAGATTATAGTAGCATTGTCTGGTTGCAAATGTACTCACTCCATTAAGGCCTTCTTTGGAAGGGATGATTACATGATTCCTACAAAATTCCTCTTTTCCAATCAAAGGGATTCTGAGTTTTGATCAGAAATGGGATTCAATTCTAGCATTGATCTTGGTCTAACCTGGGGTACTCATTGGCACTTGCAGGTGGTACTTGGGAGTTTCGTGCAGGGAGGGTCGAAGCCCAAGTCGAAGAAGGCCGGGAAACAGCAGCAGCAACAGGCGGCGGCGGCGGCCTTCAGCTCGGACTCGCTGACCGGAGGAGGGCAGGACGCGTCGCCGAGCTCCGGCCATAACCAAAATCTAACGCCGCCGCCCCCTGTAACAACGACGGGAGGGTGGCCTAGCTCCGGGATATTTGACACGAGAAGTTCCAACATTGATATCAACTCATCTAGAGGCTAGCTTCATCTCTCAATTTGTCGACTCTTCCATATGTGCTCCAGAAATTTGTTTTTCTGATTCCCAAAGAATTACCCCCAAAATTGTACTCCTCTCTGTAATAGCCTGTTCAGTTTTTGAGCCGTTAATTCTTATAGATTATTATTATTCACTAGGCAACGTTGCATTCATGCATGCATGCATGCTCAGAGTTGTGTAATCCCAACAGGATAATCTTGCTTTTCTTTCAGCGACATGTGCTACTGCCCAACCTGTACATTCAGATTTCCTTCACTACCTTTATATTCTTTCTCACTACACAGATACAGAGCATCATCATTGTAGGTTCCTCTTCACAGAAATTGCAAACAGATTGTAGTAGCAGCAACAACAGGACGATGCATCATCTTTCATGGAGTGAGCTCTAAGCCCCTAGCAGGTTCTTGATGTCATTCTGCAGAAACAACCATTGACTGATGAGTAATCATGCCTGTGAAGCTATATAATAAAATGAAAACGAACACTGTTTTGTTTCATCACCTCAATGCTCAATGGGGAGCTGGTTGGTGCATAACGGTTCACCACATGACCCTCTTTGTCAACCAGAAATTTGGTGAAGTTCCATTTGATGCGTTCTCCGAAGAGGCCACCTCTCTCTGACTTCAAGAACTTGTACAGTGGAGCAGCATTGCCGCCATTCACATCAACCTGTTTGACAACTCGGGCGCGTTGATTTTAGACCGAAACAACAAATAATTGGATATGGTTTTGGAAGCTAGCACTGGAAGAAAAGATTGCCATTGGTTGGACCTTGCCAAGGATAGGATACTCTGCTTTGAAGCGGGTACAAGCAAACTCCACAACCTGCTCATTGCTGCCTGGCTCGGTGGCTCCTGTCCTGCAAATTGATTGCATGGGAACGCCAATATCTCCAATCCTAATTGCACAAGAAAAAGGGGAAATACAAAGCAATTGAGGTCATTGTAGACTGTCAACGGACAGCGTTATGCTCTCATAAATTACAATTGAGGTGTCAAGGGGAAACTGAAAGATTTGATGCAATTTAACTGGACGGCAGAGGAAACGATAAGAGAGTGAATACTTTCTTCAGAGTAAAAGCAATAACAGCAGTACGGTATTATACAGCTGCCCAGTGCCCACAGATAAAAGTCTAAAAATGTTATTAAAAAAACCGATACTGAAAAATGAGCACTGGTCAAGATTCAAGAAATTTGCAGCGATTTCTCCAAAAGTACTTCATAAAGGTATTCGCGTGACTTCAGAGCCGAGTTGCAACAAACGTACTGTCATATAGGTAAACAACTAGTACCTGTCTCCTTGTATTTCCCATATAACTGACCAAGTTCAGTGTAGTTGTAATTCGTCAGACCACTGCAGAGATATCATCAGATCAGGTGGGAAAGTACAAACTCTCATTAGACAATTTCGAATGAAAATGTAAAGACCAATACCATCGAGATGCAGCATTCACAATAAGAACAACTTTTCCCTTGTATCTGCTGAGTTCCACATCACTCCCCCTCGCATCCTGCAGAATTATTCCACAGACCGTTATTTAAACACGACGAAATGAAATCAAAGTTGGATGAATGGGAATAGAGACCCTGTCATTGAAAAACTCCATCTCTTGTTCTTGTATTATCAATTTTCAAATAGCCCGATTGCATTGGTTCACAGACACTTCAACGTGGCTTCTTCAAAATTTCCCATAAAACCTCTCAACATGCTTGATAAAAAATAAGAATAAATAATTCTAGAGAAATGGAAGGAGGGACAGGCGCTCAACAGACCTTCACAGTGAATTCATGGATGGAGCCAGCGAGCTTTGAAGATGACTCAGCTGCTCCCATATTTGCTTTCAGCAACACTGAAGTGCTCTCCTGGACAAGCCACTGGAAGAAGGATTGGAGAAGAATGCAAAGAGACAATGAAGGAACAAAAAGAAGTGTGACAACTGGCAACTAGCACCACGAGATTTATTTCTGCATTTTATCAGACATTTCGTTTGAGAATTCTCCCCTTTTTTCCAGTCCAAATGTTTTCCACAGATGCTAATGCCAACCACAAAATATGTAAAACATGATAATTGAATGGGCCATTTCTAAAGCACATGTATCTCTATATAACGCTACTATACAAGTAGACAAAATATTGTGTCCATCAACGCTACAACACAGAAGCCATTCCTATCACCAGTTTCTGGGCATTCTCAAAGTATACAGCGGAAATCACAATATAATCATAATGGAGAGTCGGAGATATCATACAGTGTGTAAAGCTATCAATCAATGCTGAATGTTCAGCTGTTCAACAACAGGTACAAATTGAACGCTTAGCACAGCTTTCTAATTAGCCACAAAATATCATCACCCTTTCTACCTATCCGATCAATCAACAAAAATTAGGCAGAAAAAATATCTTGTATGATGATCAGTAGTCACCCTTTCCAGAGAATGGTTCATGACAACATATATGCAGGCATACAACAGAAACCAAGCAAGCAAGATTTTAAAGTACTATATATTGGGCAACTAGATATTTAAAATGACCAGTACAACTCCAAAATCTGATAGTTCACAAGAAGCCTTAAACACATTATTCCCTGCATTCAGAAGCTAATACGATATACAGGCTCTCAAGTACTAAGAACACACAGTTACAATAACAACAAAACGAAGCCAGACTACAGTAATCGGCATGGAGTACTCCATCCAATTTATCACAATGATAAGGCCACCAGATGGCAGCTATTTTATAGCATGCTGTCGGTCCTTGCTGGCAGTCGTCTGAAGAAATTCACTGGCGTTGAAGGCAACCTATATCTGAACCTCGGGTGCCTCATGACATAGAACCCTGCCAATGCTGCAAGAACTTGGAGTGGTGTAACATACAGGACTATTGCTGCTATGAGACAAAAGAGGACAAATATTGCTGTGGCCCGAGGATCCCTCCAGCTAAGCAGTGCTTGAACCCTCTCCCCTTGAGTTGCTATATCACCTACCACAGTCTGTATTCTTCCAGCAACACTCCTCAGCCTATCATACCTCATCCTAATAACATCAGGACTCCTGCTTGTTGGGAATGTATCGAACTCTTCGTCAAGTTCATCTGGGTGGACAGCCTCCGCATGAGAGATCTTAGTGTTCATGTGTGGAGGATAGCAAGGTCGGTAACGATAGTTCCAAACCCCTATAAGAAACATGTATAAGAACACTGTTGGGAGTATGAGCTCTGGAAAGCACACCAACATTATAAATAGGATGTGAACCAGCACAGTGGTAATGGGGTTCCTCCATGAACACACACCATTAAACCACTTGCTAACTGCAAACAAGCCTGAGAAGACTGACATGAGCCTGAAGAAGTTGGCTTTGCTTCGTCTCATGCTCCACAAGTGAGAATCAACATCTGACATGTACTCAACAACTTCCTTTCTCAGAGGTGGTTCCATCCGGCTAAGTCGGGCAGACACAATCTGGACAGCTTGATGGCGCAGCATGTCAACCTGAAGGACTGGTATTGGGCGTACATAGTGCATCTTTGGTAGCAAAGGTCGAGAGTACAGGTACATCATGTTTACTAATGAAGTTGAGGAAAATCGTATGGCTAAGTGCAATTCACCCATCTTTTTTACCCCCGATGGATGTAGAACCAGGAGGGGATATGAGTGAGTGTAGACACGGCCAGTTTCAAGAGTGGAAAGACGAATCCGAACCTTGCCGATTTTCGCATCTTTAGAACTGGACGTCTTCTCACCACCTTTCTCTCCAAGCTGGCCATTGTCAAAAACACCGACAGTCAGGACTGTTGCAGGATCATAAACTTCCCAGGTATATTGTTCATTGAATTTGGGGCCCGGGTTGTTCACGATGGTACGTGTCCGTACCCACTTTGAACCATACTTAGCAACACAGTAAGTGTCTGATGAACCTTTTCCATCCCGTGTTTTCATTGGAACAATCCCTTGAGCACCCAGGATTCCAAGCTCAAGCAAACCAATGGACGGTTTCCAGAGTTGCTTGGCTGTTGGTCTGAGGTCACTGCTGTAGTTAGTGGACTCATCTAGAACATGGTACCCTCCATCAAGGCAGAGACGAAGATGAAGCCGAGTAGAGAACTTCTCCTTCTTCAATTGATCCACATCAATAAGTACCGGCTTCTCAAGATTGAACCATTTCCCATGGACAATACGATCATCGGCTCTTCTATCAATCATTGTCAACGGTATAATTACACGGCCAAGCACCTCGTCTTTGTTAGGAGCTACACGATCTTCAAGGGAAAGAATAAGGTGATCCTCAAAAGGTTCAGCAGCCACAAACATTAGATCCTCATTCCAGAATGGGTTGAAATTTCTAGCTTGAACAGGTTTTGTCCTCCCGTGCTGATGCCCCACTTGTGCCCTTACAAAAACATCTGGATAGCGTGTCTTATCAGTTATGGCAATATCTTGGGCCTCAATTATATTGACTCGCAGGTACCAGAGTCTTGGAGCATGGTAAACTTTAGACTTCATGTGTGTTACAGCAGATGGATCCTCAAGTGTTGCAGCATCTGAATGCCATGCGTCAGGAAATGCCTCATCGGCTTGGGTGCCGATCCAAACTGCAAGCATCAGCTCGCCTCTTGACTTATCCCCAGTTTTATGAACGAGGCGGTACCATTCTGGGGCCAATGGACTGTCAGGGGGCACACGCATCGGAACATCATTCAGATCAAATCGCACCAGACCAACAAAGTCATCTTTTAGCAAATCCTTGTCTTTGACAACAACTTCAAGGATAGTTGCCTGCATACGGTCTCTGGAAAAAGCAAAGACCGCATTCCACTCTGGATTCTTCTGCTTCTCAAAGTGCCTAGTTATACCCCTGTAGTTGCCAACTCTCACTTCAACATAAGGATCTAGGCTTCCAGTGACATCCATGTCAGGCAAGTCCCGTGCCTTAACCACACGTACAAAAAGATACTGCATTCGCTCCACTAGGTCATATGTACTGGCATGCTTCTCGGCACGTATAACCCGGCCTCCAACAACCTGTCCGCCACCAAGAAATGGACTAGTTTCTTTGAGTGCATAGTCCATGGGTTGCTGAGAGGCTGCTGAATACATTCTTACAATCTTGGGTTGTTGAGGTTCTGGTTTCATCTGGTCAACAGCATACTTGGAAGGTTGGTCGGGAAAGGAAGCTGGTAGATGGCCATGCCCATGGTGCTGATGCTGCACCTCCTTAGCTATGGTGTGCAATGTTTTCACCTCAGCCCTGTGCTCATGAGTTGTGCTG